ATATTTATTTTTTAGTTATCGGCGAACACAACATCTTTGTTTGTATGTGGTGCTGAGGATTGAACCCGGGCCGCATGCATGCCAGGCGAGTGCGCTACCGCTTGAGCCACATCCCCAGCCCATTCTACTTAATAACAAGTACAAAAATTATAGGACCATCTGAGAGCCAAGGCTATGGTATTTGAAAATAGGAAAAGTGAGAGAATTAACTTAGAAGTAAGGCATCTATTTCCCTCGAAGTGGTCAAATTTTAGCATCAGGGGAATGCAATAGGTTGTATATGTGTTCACACTCAGAGCAACCACTAGGAGAACTATATGAGGTACAAAGACACTATAAATAACTCAAGACAGAATCCTAAAAAGTGTTCAGGTAGCACAAAGGAAGGTGAGACCAGAGATATAAGAAACATGAAGCAGTAAAACAAATAATTCAAAGACAGAGTACTAAACTATCAACAGTTACCTTAAATATAAATAGTCTAAGTATACCAATTATAAGGCAAATATTGGAACAGTGACTAACAAAACACAAAGAACATGTTCCAACTATATGCTGTATGCAAGAAACTCATTTTAATTTTAACAAAACAGATTGACAGTAAATGAAAAATGCCATATTTTACAGTATAACGGTAGTCACTGTATTAATGTATATTCACATGTGTCCCATGCATCCTAATCTTGCATCAAAGAAATTTAATAATAAATGATTTATAAGTAGTACTGACACAATTAAAAAATGTTTCATTTAATGGTAGTACCTCCTTTTTGCAAACAAAAAAAATTGCTAGAAAATCTGCAACAATTATATGGTGAAGTATCATACACATAAGTCTTAATTTTAAAAAGAATGGCTTTGGTATATAACATGAAGTATACTTTATTTGAACAAAGAAGCTTACTAGCAACAAAGAAGCACATTACATACCTAAAATGGTTAATCTACCAGAAAGACAGCAATTCTAAACATGTATGAACCAAACAACTGAGCCTCAAAAATCATAAAGCAAAAACTAATAAAGCTGAAAGGAGAAATAGACTAATGCATAGTTATTATTTTTAGTGACTTCAACAACTTCTCCAACAAATAATAGAAGCATTAGGTAGAAAATCAACAAAGTGCTATTCATGGATATGACTATACATGAGTCATGTTTTTCTGTACAAACTGCTAAAACAAAACAGCCATAGCTTAACTGACTGTTGTCCTTATGATGAATGTCACACTGGAGTTTCAAAACCTTGGAACTGGAATGTGCTGATTGGCCAGTTTAGGACATTTTTGTAATTTTAATGATTAATTCTGGATATAAAAGTCTATTTTCAATGTGCCTGAGTTACATTATGAGAAAAATTACACACTTCTGATTACCAGGATGTACAAAATGTGAAATCTGACAGTCTCAGAATGGTTTTTCTGGGCAGACAGTTTCTCTTTAACAATTTCATCAGATCTCACATAATCAAGTGACTTTCCAACTAAGTCACAGGAAAAAATTTCACTTGAAAATTCTAGAACTTGGATACAAAAAAAAAAAAAAACCCCAAAACGTGTCATTCAAAAATAAGTGAAAGCACACAGGTCAGGTTGTTAAGAAATCTACATTCTGATCTTTGGCCTGCATTCATAGCTCTGTGAATCAGGGCAAGTTGCTCAATCTCTGTGAGCTTTAATTTTCTCATCTGGAAGATGCAGAGATTGAACTCACAGTCTTCAACATTTTTTCCCCCTTATCTAAACTCTTTAAATAAGTGAATCAATGTCCTGCCTGTAACCAGGAGGAGTTCCTTGGCCTTTTAAAGGTAGCTTGAAACACACCGACAGAGAGCTCTGCTTCTCTGGGGGAGTCCACGAAGATGGTCACACACTGCAAGTTCCTCTGCAAAAGCCAAGTGGGAGATTCAAGAGCAAGGCGGATGGGAATCGGTTTTCCTCATGCACGGGCCACGAGGTGGTCGAAGAGATCGATGTCCACCCATCCAACAAGAACTCAAAAAACCAAGCCCCGGTTCACTCGGTTGGGTGGCTGGGAACCCACACGCGTCCTCACCCAGCAGACTTCCGACAGAGGCCTTCGCTGAAAGTTCTAGTTTTTAAAGAGCAGGGGAGTCTCGGTGGCCTCTGAGAAAACAAGTGCCTTGAAGGTGTGACAAAAATCACCCAAATGGGTTCATCCTCTCATTCTTACTCAGTTCTCAGCCACCTCCGGCAAGGGGACCAGGACTCCCAGGGAAGCCCCTCAACTCCACTGGAAGGAAGATCTCCCGGCACCTGGACTTCAGCGGGACCTGGTGCACACTCTGGGGTGCTGCAGAAGGCAGTGAATGTGACATTGATTCAGAGACAGCAGGGGTTTCGGGGAAATGCAGATGGAGCTGGGAGACGATGATCAGGAAACCCCAGAGACCCCCTAGGTAGCCTAAGAAGAGCACAATGGCAGGACTGATTCACACCACATGAGATTCTCACTAACATCGGGAGTTTGGCCATGTGTGGTGCCGAGGAACAGAGGTGTCTCTGGAGGAGCTCCGAGCCCCTGCAGAGAAAGGCAGCCCCTCATCTGAGAATTGAATGGTGAGACTGTTTTCCCAAAGATGGACCCAGTTAAGTGAGCTCCTGAGACCGTGCAGGAATAGACCATGGGAGAAGGTCTCTGCAGCCAAAGAGGGTGAGTGGGCATGGACTAGTCCTGCTGGCTCAGCTGGTCGCGAAGCTTAAGGTCATTGGGGCTTATTGGTAGTTGTTTGCTTAGTACAGAGGTGGGAGGTTTCTGCCTTGTGTCAGAATGAAACTGCTCTCCCTCAGACCTGCTCAGCATGACCTCCAGGACTCTGGGCCCCGACATCCCCATTTCCTTCTCAGCATTCACTTGTTACCTGTGGCCATCACCTTCCAGAACCTTCCACTGTGACTGGTTCTGTGGTTATGCAGGGGCGTGGCAGGGTATCTGTGTGGACTTAGGGCTTCCCTCCAGTCTCTTCAGAGGCCCTAGCTCAACTGCCCCTTAGCCCAGTTCATGTGGCACCTTTGGGCAGCAAAATGATCGCCCCCTCTAAATTCCCCGAGCCTCATTACACATAAGGAAATTCACCCCTGTGTTATTCAGTTTACTGACACTATGACAAAATACCTGAGAAAATTAACTTAACGGAGGAAAGTTTTATTTTGGCTCACACTTATAGATGTTTAAGTCCATTAACACTTGGCCACATTGCTTTGACCTGTGGCTTGCACAGTACACCGTGGCAAGATTGCATGGTGGAGGAAGGAGCCAAGGTTCCAACTTCACCACAGGTTGGTGACCAAGACTTCAACTCTGGCCATTGAGCCATGCAAACCATAACCAGGCAAGATGGTGATCTGTGCTGGTAGCCAGGACTCCTATATTCAGGGAGATTACTTTAAACTTTATCTTCTCTTGCCTGGAGTCTGGAGTCTCCTATGGCCTACTCAATGCGTTTATCTTGAGCTCAATCTGCTACATATTTAAAATGACAGAATAATGTGCAGGATAATTTAGATTCCATTAGCAGTTTATGCATACCTCTATTATAGTACTTATCACATCATGCTATAATTTTGTTTTATATACCTGTCTCCCTACTTGACTGTGAGTTCTTCCAGGGCGTAGGCTCTCTGTGACTTAACTCCTCCTAGGATTCTGTCTCCTGCCTTGAATCCATCAGCTGGACACTCTGAACGTAATAGTATTTTAATGAATGAGCCAGATTTGTCATACAGCTCAGTAGACAGGTACACCCAGTATTCATATATTCATTAATTCAACAGATATTTTCATTTTAATTATTTATTTTTGAATTGATAAAAATCATGAACATCTCTGGTGTACAACATGATGTTTTGAAATATGCATATGTTGTCTAGTGGCTAAATGAAGATAACTAGCATATGCATTACTTCACACTCTTTTTTTAAAATTATTTATTTATTTATTTATTTGTAGTGAGAACATTTAAAATCTACTCTCAGCAATTTTTCCCCCCTTTTCTGTAGTACTGGGGATTGATCTCTGGATGTGCTCTACCACTGAGCTATATCTTCAGCCCTTTGCTTATTTATTTATTTATTTTGAGACAGGGTCTTGCTAAATTGCTGAGACTGGCCTTGAACTTGTGATCCTCCTGCCTCACCCTCCTGAGTCACTGAGATTACAGGCAGGCACACCACCCCTGGCTACTCTCAGCAATTTGCAAGCACTGAATACCCTGTTATTAGATAAAAATCCCGATGATGTAGAAGAGATCTCTTGTACTTATTCCTCCTTCTGTGCTGAAATGTCATATTCTTTCCCCTGCCCCCACTCCTAGCCCTTACTAACCACCTTTCTACTCTCGGCTTCTACGCATTTGGCTTTCATAGATGCCATGTGTAAGTGAGAGCAGGCAGTATTTGTCTTTCCACCCCTGGCTTATTTCACATAACACAGTGTCCTCCAAGTTCACCCGGGCTGTTGCAAATGGTGGGATCCTTCTCCTTTTAAAAGCTGGGTAATAGTATTCCAGTATGTGACCCATGTCTACCACATTTTCTCTATCCATTGATCCATCATTTAACACTTAGAATGATTCCATATCATACTATTGTAAATAATGGTGCAATGAACTTGCAAGTGAAGCTGTATCATCCACATTCTGCTTTCATTTCCTTTGGATACATACCTAGTGGTGGGAATTCTGGATCATATTGTAGTTCCATTTTGAACATTTTTTTTGAGGAACCTCCCTACTGTTTACTGCCATGACTGTATTAATTTACATTCCCACCAGTTGTGTATTAGGGTTCCCTTTTCTCTACCTCCTCACCCAAATTTGCTTTTGTTTATCTTTTTGATAATAGCCATCGGACAGGTGTAAAGTGACGGCTCCTTGTGGTTTTAACTTGCATTCCCCTGATTGATGATGATGTGGAACATCTCTTCTTATACCTGTTGTCCACTTTAGTCTTTGGGGGGGGGGAAATGTCTATTCAGGTCCTTTGTACATTTTCAATTAGGTTACTATTTTCTTAATCAACAGATATTTCTGAGCCCAGCACTCTGCTAAGCTCTGGGAATTCAAACAATAGCAAACAAGAAGAGGGAGACTTTCTAATCATCATACAACTTGCAGAGATTCATAGGCATTAAGGGTGGTTATTAAACACGGCTTGGTGGAGGAGAGGTTCAGGAAGGGTTACTAGAGAAAGATACTGCTGGGCTGCATTTTGGAGGCTAATTCTGAGATCACCAGTCAAAATCTTGTTAAGAGGGGCCATCAGGAAAAGGAGACGGTACGAGAAAAGGCACTGGGGTGTGTCCCACCAAGGCTTGGGTGGGAGGCTCTGCCAATTTGGCATCATAGGAGGATGGCAAAAGATGAGATGGAGAAAGTACCCAAGCCAGTTTTGTGTGTGTGTGTGTGTGTGTGTGTGTGTGTGTGTGTGTGTTGCAGGGGGCGGGTATTAAAAGTTTCCAAACTCATATATCATCCTGTTGGTGATGTTGATGTGGTAAAGGGACATAAGCCGAGGACAAATGTAGCATTTTGGAAAAAAATCACATCCTCCAACCTTGTGAAGTACAGAACGGAGGGATTAAAACTAGATTTGGGAAAACCAATCAAGAGACAGTTGCTATGGTGCTGGCAGGAGAGGAAGACCTGGACCAGGGAAGGAATAGAAGGAGTGGGGAGAAGGGGACCCATTTGAACCTGAACTTGCAGAATTTGGACTTGAGGAACGAGGGAGAGAGAGCAGAGGAAAGCCTCTCAGGTCGATGATGGAGCCTTCATCCAAAATAGAGCAATGGACAAGAAAGGCCAGGTGTGGGCAAAGGAAATGAGTCCTCTTTAGACACCTTGAGTTTGAGGTGTGTCTTCCTCATTCGGGGGATGCCCAATGGCAGGGAGTGGAAGATGTATTTGAACTTGGAGGGGCTTAGGCAGAGCAGATGCGATCTTGAGGAATAGATTCTGTGACCATAAAAATGGTGGTTGAGTATGCATCACCCCCAAGAACAGGAGGGCACCAGCTCTGGGGGGAAACACCAGCCCAGAGGAGCTGGCGAAGAGGAGTCACCGAGGAGGAGACCAGGAGGCCAGAGGATGTGGGCTGGGTTGGGAGAGCCAGCGCTGAGCATGGCTCCCGGAGGGCTGGCTCCCTGCACCCCAGTCACCCCACTTCTGAATCTGCAGTTCCTTCCAATGATCCCACTGGGTTGGCCCTTCACAGAAGTTTCCATAATTATAAATTAACACCTGGCTTTGTTCTTGTTTCACATCTGCCTCCCATGCTGGAATAGAAACTCCCTGAGGTCAGGGATTGCCTCTCTCTTAGTCCTCAGGAACTCCCCACCACCTAGCAAGTCTCCTGCAAATAGTAATTGCTCAATAAATACTTGGGACATAAAGCAAGGGTGCTCCGGTTTCTTAGAGAGTAGAGGGTTGTTAAGAATGTCACGTCTACTAATCAAGTTAAATGTGTATTATTCAAATCAAAGTATGAAATATGCTGTTGTTTATATTTTTAATATTTCTTGTAAAAAAATATTAAATTTCTGCTATATTTGTCTTTTCACTTTTAAGTCCGAGAATAATTCTCTCCATTTCTCAATTTTAGCCTTTCAGATTTCTGAAGAAAGGAGAAAGACAGTCAAGGAGCACACTTAGGATGTGTTCATAATACCGTGTAGGCTAATTGGTAGTATTCATTTTTCTCCCAAGCTCCGCCTGGTTTTATGGTGGGGGACAGATAGCCAAACTGCTCCATAAAAATGTACCTGGTTATTCATCCTGGGATACGAATTATGTTGTGAATATGGTCATAATCCAGAGATACCTTTTTTTGTGTGTGACTAGGGATTAAACCCAGGGATGCTTAACCACTGAGCCACATCACCAGCCCTGTTTTCTACTTTATTTAGAAACAGAGTCTGCTACGTTGCTTAGGGCCTTGCTAGGTTGCTAAGTCTAGCTTTGAACTTGAGACCCTTCTGTCTCAGCCTCCCAAGCTGCTGGGATTACAGGCATGTGCCATTGCTCCTGGCCAATCTCTCTTTTGGGCAACACTTGAAAGTTTTATAAGTAAATGCAGATATTGAGTTTAGAAATCATGTAGTTTTTTAATATACGAATCCTCATACGCATATATTATTTTACTATTTATTAAAACGCTAACAATTAATTGGATTCTAATGTCAAACCCTGAATCTCTTGCAAATCAAATTAAATAATCACATCAATATTTATGAGAGTCCTCCTCTGTGGGCATCGAGGCAAGAACAAGGAAAAAAAAACAAAGTCTTGCAGTAAAAAGGCCTAGATTTTGACAAACCTAGTTCAGAGATGTGGGTCTTTATCCATCTTTTTCCCATCTTTCCCTCAATCTTTGCCCATCTGCAGAATTATACTTGAGATTTTTTTTATATATATATAAAGGCATGAAGTCTCCAAAGCTACATCAACGTCTAAAATGGAGACGCCCCTGGAGACATAGCATGAGAGCTCATAGGTGCACCAAGTTTCAAAACATTTCTGATCCTTTTCTGAGAGAATTTTCTGATGGGAAGGAAAAGGCCCTCAGCCGAGAGGGGGAGACCGTTGGAAAAAGGGGTTGGGGGGCCTGCAGAGGAGTCCCGATTCTTGGTTCCAGGTCCACTGGTTACAGGACAGGCAGCTCTGCCTCTTAACTTGTTGTCAGACTCATGATTTGGGCAGCCAGGTTTTCATCTCCTCATCAGTACTGCCCAGACAGTGGGCAGTACTAACCTCACAGTGGGTTTTAAGGTGTTGAATTTCGTGTTCCCATGTAAAGCCTTGGACTCATGCCTGGCAAACGGTTAAATGCTATTTCAAGTATTAGCTGCCATTTATGATTTTACTAATTGTAGACCAGGCCATGGAGTTCTGTACAGAGTGATATGTCACCAAAGTCCTGGATCCCTCTCTGAAATCCATGTGTCGAAACCCTAACCCTCAAGGTGATGCTATTAGGATGTGAGGGTGGAGATGGGGGGAGGTGATTGGGCCCCAAGAGCTCAACTTTCACAAGTGGGATTCTTGACCTGATAAGAGAGGACCAAGGGAACTTGTCTCCCCACCCCCACCCCCACCTTTACGCAAGGACACGGTGAGAAGATGGCCATCTCTGAACCAGAAAGTGGGCCCCCAGCATCTCCGCCTTTATCCTGTGGCCTCTGGATCTGTGAAAGATAAATCCCTGCTGTTTCTCAGCCACCCAGGTTGTGATGTCTTGTTGTAGCAGCCCCCACAGACTGGCACAAGGTTACAATGCAGACCCTGGGGGCGGGGGGCTGGCTCAGATGTACTCTCCTCCCCTCAACAGCTCCTGATGTGTGAAGTCCATCGACTCTCAGTCCTCAGGCTTGGTTCTGTATTTGTTTGGCTGTCCAGGACCCCCCTTGTGGTTCTTGGGAGCCCTGGTGAAATCAGCAATCGCACGGACAGCAGACTTACATAACTGCTTTGGGAGCTTTTCTCTGAGGAATTTGCTCAACCCTCTTAGTCGGTTGCCCAGGGAGACAAGCTGGTGATGTCACAAGGCTTGGCACTTCCAGTGGTCCCTCAGTTCCCCCGCTACTGGGCTGAGGCAGGTCCACTGCTGCGTTCTACCCAGCCCCACCATGTCTCCTCCCCTCCAGGGCAGTGCAGAGACCCTTACCCTTCCCAGGCACTATTCACCCTCAGGTATGTTGGGGGTCTGGGCCACGGATCTCTTCCCGTGCTTCTGGCCTCTTGGCACAGGAACGCCCAGGTACAAGGAGTGCCTGCCGACTCTTGGTTGTCTAGATTAAAGATAAACAAAAACCAAACAAGACCAACGGGAAACCAAAACAAACCAGGGTTCCCTGAGGGATCAAAGGTTGGCAATCTCAGAAGCCAGATTACAAGGATCCTTCCTTCCTTTCCTCCTTACCTTGATTCTTGCCCTCCACATACCCAGTCTCCACCTCCTGGTTTCTCAACCTGCTTCTCTCCAAGAGATACTATTGCAACTTCCGGTTCTTTCCAAATGAAGAGAGAGCTGGGCGGGAGAGGGTTGTATTAGCCGAAGCTGTCGGTGTTTCATAATAAGATTGTTTAAACCTGCCACCATGGCTGCTCCAGGGCCAGCTAAATGGTGCAAAGGGCAGCTCTGGCCCCTTGCCCTCCTCCAAGGCTAATAGGTTGAAACAAATGCAAATCCGCAGATTACCATTATGTAAACAGGATTCTGAAAAACAGCACTAATCCTTTCTCCCAAGTTTACCAGGACAACAGCCTAAGAGAGAAGCCAAGCCAGAGGTACAACTCTCAACCCCCAGGGGTGTGTCTTACAGCTCTCCGACAGCCTAGGAGTTGATCTGTGACTCACAGAAGGACACTACAAAGAAGTGACCTGAGGTATTCAGTGCCCTGGCCAGAGGGAGCTGGGATGAGGACCTGTACGTGCATATACCACTTCCTGGTCTTGAACTGGTACATTTTCCTCAATTACTACATCCCACGGCATGGAAATGAACAGAAGGAGTATAAAATATTTCAAGATGGTGCCCAGTGGAAGTACCTGACTCTTCTTAATCTGGTAAGTCCACACGGTCACATCAGGGACCAATGTATGTGTCATGTCAGGGTTTCACCCCCATATCTCCTTTGGATTTTTATGAAATACAAAACTCCATTTCTGTTTATCTTCTTCATTGGTGGTGAATTTTGTCTTTTTCTATTACCTAGCAGTTTTGTTTTGTTTTGTTCTTTTCCTGAGAATTCAACTTTGGAAGTTATCTATATATATATAGATATATATATAAATGTATAGCTACATATTTTTTTTTTTGGACTGGCTAATTGTTACGTGTTCTTTTGCAAAGAATCTCATCTTGGAACCCCGATGGGGAACCAGACTAATGGTTTCCCCATGGGATGGACTACAAATACAGGAGGGATTTTGAACCTTGGTTGGGAAAGTCTGTGGAGAGAAGGCAGAGTGGCGTCTGTTGTGTAGGAAGTGTGGTTTCCATTGGAGGAATAATGCCATTTTATAGCACACACAGACTCACAGATTCATCTAAGAAAAGCAAACACATTTTGCCATGCTCAGCTCCCACTTCAACTTTTTATAGGCTCAAACTCCACCTTAAAGGACAAATCACTCAACCCCATAGCAAACACACATTTTCCAACTAGTTAAAAACCTTCTTGTCTTCCTAACCTGGCTGACCACACACGGATGAATGAAGTGTGAATGAACAGGAGAAAAAAAGAAACTTAAAGAAAAAAAAAGTATTTTGGGAATCTGTTAAAAAAAAAAGTCTTGGAAATTAAAAGCTAAAAAGGGAACATCTTTTGGGGGAAGAAAACTAATGTATGAGGGTTTTGTCTAAAATATAGGGTGCCGTGTAAACATCTGATTTTTAAAACTGGGTGTAATATGCTAATCCTTTGGAATTATAATCCTCTTGACAGAGGGTGTGTGTGTGTGGTCAGAAATAGTGACATAGAAATCCTCCTGAGATGGAAAAGTCGGAGTTCAAGTTGAGGAGGCCTCTGGGTGTTGCCTCCTCCCTCTCTGGCCATGTACTACTACCTCTTGGGTTCTGGCCAGAAAAACTTGAGGTCCAAACACAGCTTGTTTTGGTGACTGCTTGTTTTAATCCTATAGTTTTGTGGAAAAAGAAAAAGAAAGCAGGAAACAAAATGAAATTGCCTCTTCAGGACTAAAAGAGTGCTATAGTATTTTTAAAATGCTGTTAAGATCTGTATTGGCTTTATATTAAAAAGGGGGGAGGAGAGAGAGAGAGAGAGAGAGAGAGAGAGAGAGAGAGAGAGAGAGAGAAGAGAGTCAGTCTGTAGCCAAGATTGACGCTCTATTCAAAGCCAAATTCCAGTATGGATGTTCCGTCTCACATAAGGGTGACTAAGAATAGATGTATCACGTACTCCCATAGACCAGCTAGCTCCCTGACTTCCTAGTTCTGAGTTCCCTTACAAGCCACAGAGCCTTCATTCTCTTCAATTACCACCAGAGGGAAAAACACTTTCATTAACAATACCCTCGTATCTCAGTGTTAATCCCACGTGTACCTCCCTGACCAAGCAGCCCCCAAATCCCACTGGCTTTCCTTCTCCCCGAGTCGGCCTGCCTCTCCTATTCCAGGCTCTTATTACTTTGGACCTGGAAGGCCACATCAGCTCTTTTCTGTCCTCCCTGTTCAGGCTTTCCACCCACCACTCGGATTCCATGAATCTTCCCGAAGCTGTTTTTTCATTTTGTTTTGATGATCTCCTTTTCCCCCATTTCTGTTAGAGCATTGCAATTAGACGTAATACATAGTCGGATTCATTGTGACATATTCATGCATGCACCTCACTCAATCAATCTCATTCCCCGGGACCTTCCTTCTTGTCCCTTGCTCCCTCCACCCTGATCTGCATGTTCTTCTTCTGGTTTCTCTTCTACTATTGCTGTTTTCTAATTAGTGTGCAACAATTCCGTACACCAGCAGGATCCGTGGTGGGAGGCCTGTCCGTGGGCACAGAATCACTTGGTTGATCTCATTCCTGTACCTCTCCTTCCTCCACCTCTTCTTCTCTCCTTCCTCGGCTCTGTTGGTCTCCCTTCTATTTTTTGGAGATACTTTTTTATTCCTTTTTTCCCTTAGCTTTTACATTATGAGAGAAAAACATTTGACCCTCAACTCTCTGAGTCACTTAGCATGAGGTTCTTCAATTCTATCCATTTACCAGAAGATGACATCATCTCAGTTTTCTTTACGGTTGAGTAAAATTCCATTGTGGACAGATGCCACATTTTATGGGTCCCTTCGTCTGTAGGCAGCTCCCCTACGCCGGTTCCGTAACTTGGCTATTGTGAATTGCGCTGCTATAAACATTGGTACGCATGGATCACTATAGTATGCCAGTTTGGCTTCCTTTGGATAAATACCAAAGAGTAGGACAGCTGGGCCATATGGTGGTGCCATCCTCGTCTGTAGAGGACTCTCCAAACTGCTTTCCAATGTGGTTATACTAATTTGGAGTCCCTCCAACAGTGTATGAGTAGACCTTTTCCCACATCCTCACCAGCATTCACTGTTCTTTGTATTCTCCATGATTGCCATTCTGACTGGAGGGAGATGAAATCTCAGTATCGTTTTGATTTGCATTTCCCTGATTGCTAAGGATGTTGACCTTTTTTTTTTTTTTCATATATTTATTGGTCATTTGGATTCCTTCTTTTGAGAAATGTCTTTTGATTATCATCTGCCCATTTATTGTCAGGTTATTCATAAGCTCTTTTTAAATTGTGATCTGCTGCTCAAGACACTTCTGTGGCTCCCTCCTGTTTTATGGAACCAATCCCCAAACTCCTGGTTTTAGTCATTCACCTGTTGGTGCAACCTTCAGGTCTCTCCCCAGGAAGGTTGAGTTCTTTTGCCAGAGGCCTGGATCCAACCCATATTGGTCCCTAGGCTGGACTCTCCTTATCTGCTTGTATTCTCGTTATCTCTCCAACACTTCTTCCTTCTTAGACCTCCTGAAATCCTACATTCTTTCTTAAAATCTTTGTGGACTCCAGCCCGAATTCCTTTTTCCTTTCCTGATTTTTTTTTAGAGCATCTCTCCGTCTGTGCTTACTTACCCATAGTATCACTTTTGAATTCCTTCCGAAGTTGAAGTATTGGATCTCCAAAATTTCTACATCTCATGAGCTGGTGAATGACTGTGGGTTCTTAACTGATTTATCTGTGTTAACTAATGATCGATTCGTTGATGATCGCATTGATCATTCATGGAATCCATCATGAGTTAACACAAATAAATCAGTCCCATAGTTTGCCATAACACCTGTGTATTTATTTTAGCTCAGCTTGGTGAAGTTAGTATCCCACCCATGTTATTGGGGGAGTTTATACCCCTCCTCTGGAATACCTGCCACTTCACATCGGCTGAGTCCTGCTTACACCTCCTTTTGAAAAGGCAAGCACATCTTAGTGCCAGTCTGCATTCTGACCACTCCCCCCTGAAACTATTCCAAGAATCCAAAGAGAATCGGGATTGGGAGTTCCTCCGGGGTTAGTGGCCCTGGTGGAGCACCACTGAAGAGGAAGAGTAAAGGAAGGAGAGGAGAGGAGGTGTGACTCTCTGCCTAATGAGGGAGTGAACTGAGCCCAGGGCAGAGGCAGCTGATTCGGCCTTTGGAGGGAGAGGTAGTGTAGTCAGGTGGTTAGTCGTGAGCTCTGGACCTGTCTCTCTGAGATGTCATCTTGGTTCCATCACTGACTATCTCTGTCACTTTGGTCTAGGTACTTCTTTGGAATTTCCACAAATTTCACAGAAATGAAAGTAGTCCTTAACCACAGTGTGGCCGCCAGGGATGGATGAGCTGATAGGTGATAAGCAGACAGAATGGCCACAGCCCAGTGTGAGCAGACGGAGAGAAGGTGGGAAGGGGGTGGTGAGCTTCCAGCCATCTGTCTTTCACAGATAGTGCAGCTCAGAGGGTGATTCCAAGGAACATCAGTTTCCTCACTCTACACCATGTTGGTGTGTGGCAGAGCTGGGCAAGGGTCACCCACCACTCTCAAAGCTCCCATTTCCCCCCGGCTGCATGCTCCAGCTGGAGGAAGACCTCTGTTGAGCTGCTGTGGTTGCCCTCAGGTTCTGGGGTTCTTGGAGAGATACAGTTTGCAGGTTCAAGCAGAGAGCAGCCAGTCCTGCTGAATGGGGGAACCCCAGAAGCTGGGCGTGGGAACCCAGCTGTGGATGTCCCTGATTTGCTTGGGTTGGCTTAGTCCATCCAATGCCTGAGTCCTATACAAATGTTGCAACCCTCCCTTCCATTCTACTTTCATCCAAGGACTGTCCTTGACCCCTGGGAGTACAAGCTGGTGGGTGCTGGGGTGGGGGATGTTTGGCCACAAAGTCTTGCTGTACAGAGTTCATGGGGCTGGTTGGTGGTTCCTCTTTTTAAAAATAAACTTCCTTCAGAAAGGTTGCTAGAGGTGCTGCCACATAACTAACTGCATCTCCAGGGAGATTCTGGCTGGGTCTCTCCCTCCTATCTCCCTCCACCCCTTCAACAACAGACATGGGACCTTTCCTGCCCCTCTGCAAAGCTTCCATCCCAAGATATTCTACTGTGATCCAACTCTTGCTATCAGCCATGCCACACTGGCCGTGCATGCTCCCCCCACCTATCCCATAATATTCTTCATCCAAATTTTTGTCATTATTCAAAATGGTGTTCCCCACATACTGGTGTCCTCTAGCTTATCCTTTTATCTCAATTTCTTACTGAAGCTAAATGCTATGAATGTTACATGTCTACACCCATAGGCTTGGCCAAGGTTCCCTTCCACCTGCCCCAAATGCCACCCCACCCACCACTGAGAGCTAGAATATTCATCACAGTTCACCCTGATTGCTCTTTTATTCTGGGATATTCATTTATTGAAGGGATTGCATCATTTTGAAGGAGAGGAATAAAAAAGTCCCAACCCAGCTGAGTCAGACACAGAATCTTGAGCCGGGCTGGGATCACTTGACTTTTGAGTGCAGAGAACTCGTGGAATCTCCCTCTATGGAAATTATTACTATTTTTTTAATGGAAGAAATTCTCATTTCCTGGGGGTGGTTTAGCAGGGCTCTGGCTATAAGGCGAGGAAATAAACTTGATGATTAAGCCAAAGTTCCAAGGCCTTAAAAATTCCGGGGAACCGGGAAAAAAAAAGAAAGGGAAAAAGAAAAAACCCCTAAACAACGCCTCAAAAACCGCAATAAGTAAGAAAAAAGGAAAACCAACCCCGGCAAGGGGGGGTAAAGTCCGCAAGTAACAAAAAAAAACAAAAAAAACCCAAAAAATTAAAAAAACCTAAAAAAAAGGAAAAAACCCCCCAAGGGAACAAAAGTAAGGAAAAAACAAGAAAAAAAAAAAAACCAAAAAAGAAGTTTCCAAACAGCAAGAACAAGAGAGGACCACGTGCCGTCTGCTGTCTCAGGCAGCCCAAATAGGGCATCATCTGTATCAACAAGGGGTATCTGGAAGGGAATTTCTCAATTCCCATTGAGAAATGGGAATGATTGTCACTTGGTTGCAAGATTCTTCAAAGAAGACCAGTTGTTGCTACCATGTTAATGCCATTACATGATGAGGGCTGCCATAGCATCCACCGCAGACCAGCGGCTGACCCAGCCCCATTTGATCCCCCGACTTCTGGAAGCTGCAGGCTGAGATCAAGGGGGCAGGGGTGGATTTTCCAGGCTTGCAAATACCATCTTCTCCCTGTGTCCTCGGGGCTCCTCCCTCTGTGTCTGAGTCATGATCTCTTCTTGCGAGGACACCAGTCCTGTTGGAGTAGGGCATTGAGCCCATTTTAACTCAATTACCTCTCTAACGACCCTACCTCCAAATGCAGTTATATTTGGAATTATGGGACTTGAGGTCTTCAGCATTGGACTCAAATGACCTCAGGACAACTAGCACTTTCTCCCCGGGTTGCACTTTCTAGGCCTGTTTGACAAACCTTCGATGGTATTGTCCTTGGAGAATGAGCAGGCCGTGGCTGTTTGGATGAGTTGATTCAAAACTGTCCTCAATGTCCCCTATTGCGTGCGGCCCCTTAGAGCTCAGGGCTCACCCTCCTGGTCCTCCAGCTCTGGCGGTGGCTCCTGCCTGTGACTTCCTCTTGGCAATACCGTCCTGCCTCCCTCCTGGGCACTGAGGTGGGGACTCCCCAGATATCCCTTGTTGATACAGATGATGCCCAGTCCCATCAGTGTGAGCTGGGGGCTGTGGGGGGAGGTGACTGTCAGGTTTGCAGTGGGGAGCCAACTTTTATTGATGGAGGAACCCCAGAGGGGCTGAGTAATGTGCTTTCTTCCCTCATCCGATTTCCACATCTTGTAACTGGGGAAAAGGAGAGAGAGGTTCAGCTTGATCACAGTGACTCTAGGAAGCTCTGCCTGGAGGAGAGTAGGTCACGTGGACTTCACATGCTGGGTGGAGGCAGCCTCTGCCCACAAGGGGAAGTCCTGGCAGAGGCTCAGCCAGTGCAGGACAGTACAACAGTGGAGTCCTTGTCTCGGGTCCCAGGGCCCAGGTCTGCTCCTCCTGACTCAAGCAGCTGCCGGTTACGGCCTGAGCAGCTGCAGGTGAACCCAGGGGAGAGGTGAGAGCTACCTGGGAGCCGCCGCAGGGAGGCAGCTTCTTCTGACATCCTGGGCAAAGGCCTGCCCGTCAAATTCCCCAGCCCTGAGGGGATGATGTGCAAAGCACCCACAAGGTGACAAGAACTGGGGTGGCAGCCCCTGCATGGAATTTATAGCCATTGCCAACCTTCCCGATATAAGCTCTTCCAGTGGGAAGCTCCCTGGGGCCTTGTCCAGTCCTGGTTTTCTACCACTCGCTCTCTCTCTATGCCACCTGCCTGGCCTATTGCCCCCCTCCTGTCCCTTAGGTGAGGACGCTCTCCCCTCTCTCACCCCCACCTCTTTAGCAGTCTCATGGCACCTGGAGGCTTTGACTACTTTGATCTCCTTGGCCGCATCTCTCTGGAGACCCCCGGTATGAATTTCTGCACAGAAGTCCCTGTAGGCAGGTGGTTCTCACCCTCAGCTACGGAGGACTAGAGTCACCTGGGAGGAATTGAAGACACCCTGAAGCCAAGGCTGCACCCCCAGACTCACTAAAGTAGAATCTCTAGGGAGAGGCATCGGTGTTTTTGATTTTTAATTCCCCCACCTGGAGAATAGCGGTCTCTCTTCTCACCTCCTACAGTGCTTTAGTGAACTGTTCTTAGAAATCCGCTGTATATATAGAAATCTGGTCCTTATATGTATATGAACCAGACTCTGAAGCCATGAGCCTTTACGAAAATTTGTTCATCTCTCTCTCTCTGTGCCCCAGTTTCCCCATCTGTAAAATGGTGCTGAGAAGCTTAATAATAGCACTTACTTTATGAGGTTGTGCAGTTACAAAGCTTAGTTATGTCTGGCACGAGACATGTAAGGACTCAAGTCAGCTGCTGGAGTTTTGAGTAGTTAGATTTCTGAGTGAAGAATTTATGTCTGATCTAGGCTTAATTTCTTCAGCTTAATTTCTTCAGTCTATACCCAAAGGACTTAAAAACAGCATACTACAGGGACACAGCCAAATCAACGTTTATTGCAGCACAATTCACAATAGCTAAACCGTGGAACCAACCTAGATGCCCTTCAGTAGATGAATGGATAAAGAAAATGTGGTATAGATACACAATGGAATATTAATCAGCAATAAATAAGAATAAAAATCATAGCATTTGCAGGTAAATGGATGGAGTTGGAGAAGATAATGCTAAGTGAAGTTAGCCAATCTCAAAAAACCAAAAAAAAAAACAAATGCTGAATGTTTTCTCTGATATAAGGAGGCTGATTCATAGTGGGATTTGGAGCAGGGGCATGGGAGGATTAGATGAACTCTAGCTAGAACAAAGCGGGAAAGGGTGTAAAAAAGATGGAGAACGAGATGGACATCATTACCCTAAGTCCAGGTATGAAGACATGAATGGTGTGGACATACTTTGTAGACAACCAGAGATGTGAAAAATCATGCTCTATATGTGTAATATGAATTCTAATGCATTCTGCTGTCGTGTATAACAAATTAAAATAAAAATTAAGAAAAAAACTTCAGCTTACATAGGAACTCCTGGAGAGCCTACCAAAACAACTTCTTGACCCCCTTTTCCAGAGATTCAGACCCCACAGTCCAGGGTAGGGACGTGTCCTGCCTTTCTAAAAAGCTCCAGGTGATAGGGTACTGCAGGTCTGAGGGCCCAGCGGGGAACAGAGACTGAATTCACCCCGTATCCTCCCTGCCACCCCTTGGCCCAGGGAGTGGTGTGAGGACAACTGTGAAAGGTCTCTCCTAGAGCTGGACCCCAGAGGCCAGGCCCCACGGTCAACGTGACTAATCGCTGGCCCAGCTCCCGGCTCCAGGGCTCACCGTCTCCTCCCTAAGACCAAAGGCCTCGCTCCCCGGGTGTAGCCTCCAGAGCTTCCAAAGATCAGGACGGATTTTGGAGCCGAGCGCAAAACTGGCCCAGACTCTGTGTAGTTGGTGACCCGACCCCGCCACAGGCCTTAAATTAGACGTCCCCAGATTGTGACCATCACTGAGGATGGGCAAGGTTTGCCTTCAGGGTCACATTGCAGGTTGAACATCCAAATCCAAAAGAACCTGACATTTGAAAGGCTCCCAAACCCAATGCAAGGACACAAGCGAAAATCTCACAGTGAGAAACTCGGTTTCCCGTACAAAATCGTTAAAAAATATGATAAAAAATCACTTTTGGGTTTTTTTTTTTGTATAAGGGATATATGAAATATAAATGAGTTTTGTGTGTAAACTGGGGTCTCATCCCTAAGATATCTTATTCTAAAATCAAAAGAAAAAAAATTTCCCAATCTGAAATACTTCTGGTCTCAAGCATTTTGGATAAGGGACACTCCACCTGAACTTCCCTCAGAGGGCCCCTGCTTCTCTTTGGCCTTGCCTCAGGGGCCTCACCAGGGCCCAGGGCTTTCTGGCTCCTTCCTTGGATTTAAACCACTCCCTTGGCCAGAGGGTCTCAGCGGAAGGAAGCACATCAGCTCCTTCCGGAGCTAAGCAAGCCGCCATCTTGGGTATCTTCGCCATCTTGGGTATCTTCCTCAGGCTAGCGGGGAGCTCCAACCTGGTGCTCTTGACCCTGATCCTGGCTTTCCCAGTGAGATTTCAGCCCTGGGCCCTTTTCTTAGTTTTTCTTCCCAGGAAGACACCTGAGGCCAGTCTGCCCTACCTGGCTCTTTGTCCTGCCTTGCTCTCTCTGTTTGGCTCTTCCCACTTTGGTACCGCCAAGGTGTCTCCTTTTAAGCCGACTTTTAATTTTGTTTCCATTTTTAACTCAAGCCCATTCCACAAAATACTGTACCCATCACCATCCCCTAAGTGAATGAATTTCCTCCATCAGGTTTAGAGAGCAAGGTCAGGGTCCAACGAGCTGGAAGCCCAGCCCTTGAATTGGCTCTTAACCAAAGCAGCCCAACAGCCCCCTCCTCCTCAGACCCACATTGCTCCCAGAGGGATGCAGTTTTACATCCGTGAGGAAGGTATTAATTAAAGCAAATGGAAATGCCCTCATTTGTTGTAATGAATTTAGTTCTTGCAGGCCTTTTTCTTCGGGGTCGCCTGCCTGGATGATGTGCTAAAAAGAATCAAAGGAAGAAGAAACATTAGGTTCATAACTGCCTTCAGAGACCTACTGTTCACCACGTTGGCTTTCCCTGTGTCCACAGTAAGTTTCCAGGACGTAGATCTCATGGAATAGACACGTACAGGTGCACAGACTCTTCTGGGCAGCCAGGCTGTTCCGGAACCTATTATGGAAAACCATGGCCACGGCCTTTGCAAAAACATTCTGTCTCTGGGCTGTACCCACACTGCCCAGGGTCATCAGGAAATAGGACACTTTACTGATCAGATTTATCGTTAGTTTTTGTATCTTTGTGAAAACTCAATGCAAGGTCCTTATCACTGTCCAATGGGGAAGTTTGAAGGAACTTCCTTAATCAAAATACAGTCAGTCCTTCATATCTCTGGGTTTCAATCCGTGAATTTAGCCAACCATGGGATCAAAAATATTGGGGGAAAAAAACCACAATTGAATGCAAATTTAAAAACAATACATTGTAACAACTCTTTACATTATATTGGCTATAAGTAATCAAGAGGGATTAAAAGTGCACCAGAGGATATGTGCAGGTTACATGCATATACTGTGCCATTTTGTATGAGAGTATGGAGCATCCACGGGTTTTGGTATCCTTGGGGGGGTTCTTGGAATTAACCCATTAGGAATACTGAAGTCGACAGTGCCACTGAGACAATGTTATTTCCATCCAGGTGATGAGACTGGAAAGCCCTGGGGAGGAAGGTGACTTGCTTTCCCTGTTGTACAGCTTGTTTCACTTGGTACAATAAAAGCCTGTGTTACTTCTACAAGTGGAAAAATTACCTAATTAAAATAATTTTAAAAATAAAAGAGATGAGACTTTCAGAGTTGGCACATGGAAAAGACGATCTAAGAGAAAGACAAGCCTAGTTAGTGTAGGGCACGCAGTAGGTGCTTTGTTCTTCTTGCTGAATGAACGGACATCAGGAAAAGGCAGATGTGAAAGGTTCAGTAAGCTAGTTCACTGACAACATCCACATTTCTACGGCCTTGTTCCTGTTCATTGCTAGAATGAAAAAACAAACCGGTTCAGCCGCTGGCTGGCCAGCGGGGCCTAGCATAAGCAATGACCGCCTTCCTCCACCTGCCATTGTCCTGCTTCCTGTGGCACCCCGACTTCACAACCAAATGCAAAACACAACTCTGCAAAGCCGAATGAGTTCTCAGGTGACAGAGCCAACACCAGCACTCCAGGTTCACTGGGCTGAATACCCCCACGTGCACCCCGTAAAGTCTTCTGAAGATCAAGTTTTAAAAATCATCAGTGAGATCTGCTTTTTTTTTTTAAGGCTTATACATTAAGCCTATGCAATTTCAGAAGATGGGAAGATCAGAAGATGAACAGTTGCCCCACCCCCATCCCAGTTCAGCATGGATTTGTAACACAGAGGACAGATGCTTGGACAGGGCCATAGATGGAGATCAGGGCAAGGAAGAGATCCAACTCTCAGCAAGCTCGCTTCTGAGTTACCCAAGAGTTGGTCAGTTTTAAGGGGTAGGCAAGAGTGTATAAGCATGGAGCCATTCCAGGTGCAAGCTGAGAGGAGAAAGAAGTCGTTGGTTAGAGTGCTCGTAGTCTATGCACTTAGTTTTTTGTTTGTTTTAGTTTTAGTACTGGGGATCTAATCCACTGAGCCACATCCCCAGCCCATTTTCTATTTTATTTTGAGTCAGGGTCTCACTAAGTTGTGTGTGCCACCATGCCCAGCCTGTGTTATCCAGCTTATCCCAGTCTTCTCTGCCTGCCTTGATAACAGATCATTGAGTTGCTAACTAACCAGCACATGGAGGCATCCCCTGGGAGCTCAAATATGGCATTTCTACCATAAGCATTCTTTCCTTTAGTTTGACATTCCTGTAACGTATATAGGAGGTATCTTTAAGACCGGTATCTATTTTTATTTCGCTGTTTCCTTGATTATCTTAGAAAACTTTGATGAAAAACAAACCTAATGATCTCTCTATATATTTTTTTCTGTTTTATTTCCAGTTTGTATTTTTGGTATTCTGGACCATCTTTCTCTATGACCGAGAGCTCGTTTACCCCAAGATCCTAGACGAAATCTTTCCGATATGGATGAATCACGCAATGGTGAGTGAGGGGACATCAAGTGACCGTGGAAGGTCAGTGACCCGTGTCCTGAACACTCCCAAGTGCTTACCCATGAGCTTCTCTCCACCCCCAACATCCAATCACTCCTCCCTCCCTACCCTGTCCCTAGAGGTCACGAGATGAACAAAAACTGCCCCTGGTGCTGCAGAGCTCACTGAGAGCACAGGAGATGGCCAGACGAGACTCTGTCATGTCACTTAGGAAGTCATCAAAAAGCCATGTCACCCAAAGGGCAGGTCACCTTCTGGTTCAGCCTCAGTCCTGAAAAAGAAGCAACTTCCACCCGTAACACGTGACGCAATTCCTGGCTGGGAGTGCAATAAAGCAACTTTAAACAAAACCCGCCCCCCACCCACTGTAGCCACAGGACACCCCACGCAGCTCAGCCGCGACTCCTAGCTTGCCTTCCCTCCAGACTCTGCATCACAAATGGATTCTTCTTTGCATACTTCTCTGGATACATTTCTATCTGGTTTTTCCTTCCCTTGTGTGTTTTTGAGGGGCTACACAGTAAACAGAACATGGCCTGAGATATACAGGCCACCGGAGCCTGAAGGCCACTAACGGTGACCCCCAAAGTAGGCCTGGCACAGAGTTGTCCAGGTCACTGTTGGGGCACTGAGCTCGAGTCTTTGATGCTAAGTGCATGAGGTCATCGCTCGAAAACCCAATTCATCTTCTCCATACTTGCAAATGTATTTCCATGTCCGTCAGGAGGTGATAAGGAGGTTTCAGAGTCTGGGAAGCACATGGCTTTTAAAAATCAGAGGAAGCCAGGCGCCGCGGCCCATGCCTAGAATCTCAGCGGATCTCAAGTTCAAAGCCAGCCTCAGCAACTGAGCAAGGCCCAAAGCAATTGAGCAAGACCCTGTCTCAAAATGAAAAGTCAAAAGAGCTGAGGATGTGGCTCAGTGACTAAGAGCCCCCGGGTTCAACCCCTGGTAGAAACAAACAAACAAACAAACAAATAAAAATCAGAGGGAAATCTCAAGGGAGGAGAACAGCAAGGCCACGTCCACGAAGACCTCCTCCTGCCCCTCAGCCTTCCATTGTCTTCAAACTCACATGATGACCAACCTAGAAAGCAGCTCAGTCCTCTCACAATGCTGCCCATGTGGGCACCTCCCAGAAAAAAAATAAATCTCACCTTCAATTCAAAATACTTTGCTCTGTGAACTATTACAGATGAAAATGCACCGGTTCTAATCTAATTTAGAGTTCAAGACCCAAAACTATGTGTGAAATAAGCTCTACCTCTCAGAAATCCCCTCCTACCTCTCCTTCCTGTCATCTGCATTGTCCATTAGTATTAATCTGAGACACCTATCAGGGGAATCTTCCTGTTCTTTCATTCATTCTTTCTTTCTTTCTTTTTTTTTTGTTAATGACACATTACACTATACAAAGCAAGTTCTTCATCTGTGAGCTCATTTAATGCATACAACCTTCTTTTGATAACTAGCAAAATCTTGATTTTTATAAATGAAAAAAAAAATAGCTAAGAGAGGGCAAGTGACCTGCCTGGGGTCATCAAGCTCTTATCCACAGTACATCTAGGATTGTTATCTGAGGACAGATGGACTCTGTGTGGCCTCTGGTTAAAGGTAAGTCCACACTTTGTGGTTTTGATCCAGTTTCCCAATTTACCAGGCAACCCAAAGGATGCCAATCGTTTGGTTAATTAATAACAGCAAAGTGAGAATTTTTCACTTAAAAAAAAAAAAGTCCAGGATCCCCATCTGTATGCTTCTAAGCAAAAACTGAGAAAGCAAAGTGATTTGAAACAATTGGCTGAGCTGGAAGTTGTAAAAATAATAAAGAGGCAGAACCTTGAGTGTGCCTTCTATGTAGGGCCAAACCCACATATCACACTCGGCGGCGTCATGTGGTGTGAGCTCACTGATGGCACGCTCCCTCCCTATTGGGAGCTCCATTTTCTACCGCGATGCATGACTGGCTTTCTTCCAGATAGTGATGTTGGTGATGCCCAATATTTGTGACCTTGCTAAATAAACAGCCATATGGGTTGTTGATCATTTTGGAAGCAGAGAGCCGGATAATGTAGTACATCCGTGAGCTGATTAATGAGGAAGGCGGCGGATACTGTACAATGGAGATGTTTCAGTGTTCTGTGCCTTTACAACCTGGTGTGGGGTTGGGGACCCTGCCCCTTGCTCTTTGGTCAGCCGAGTCACTCACATCCCTTAGGAGGGGCAAGAGTCCCAGGAGGTGGGACAGGGATGACCAGGAGAGAAGAGGAGGAGTCAGCCTGCCTTGGGTCAGAGGCAGATACACGTCTGTGCTTCTCTCAAGTTAATTGGGGAAATCCCAGCAGATCCATCTCTAGGAAGAGCATAAGGGCAGCAAGACTGATGTGGGGGGTCCCTGATGCAGTTATCCCCAAACTTCCTGCTTGCCTTGGTGTAGACGCTCCAAATCCCATGTCCTCATGGCTAATTCTGATCCCTCCGTCCCAGACGGTCCCTCCCCCTGAACATTCTCCTCCCTTGCTATTAAACTCTCCTGGCCCTCTCCCTGATGCTCTTTGCCAACCCCTTAAACTCCAAACTTCCATTGCAGTGGCAGTTCTTGGTGGCAGGGTTCAGGTCTGGAATCCCCCCTGAAGGCCCAAGTGGTAAAAGACCCGTCTCCAGGGAGGTGCTGTTGGGAGGCGGTCGTGGGAGGTCTCTAGGTCACTGTGGGCTTTAGAAGGGAGAGTACAGCCCCTGCCCCCCTTCTCTTCCTCTTTTTCACTTCCCAGCCCCAAAGTGAGAGGTTTGGCTCCTCCACACTCTCCCTGCCATGATTCCTACCTCATCACACGCCCAAAAGCAATGGGGCCCATTGATCATGAACTGGACATATAAAAAAATAAAATAAAAAAAAAACTTTTTTCTTTATAAGTTGATCATCTTAGGCATTTGTTATAGTAATGAAAGCTGACTAACACTGGACCAATTTGTTAGTACTTCCCATATTTTACTAGTGTCCTTACGTGACAACCCCAAGGAGTAGATATGATGCTGGAGAATTGCCCCTGTGGGTGCCAGAGTGATGCCAGGTGGTCTGGATGGACAGCTGATACTAGTGGCTTCTTTTTGGGGGTGGGCCCTCATCTGGGAATCACTCCCTGTACTGCGCTGCTCCCTCTTCCTCTTCACGGTTAAGAATTAATGCCTCACGTCACCAGCATCAGGCTGTCCTGGAAGGTCCTCTCACTTCGCAGTGCTCCTATTTTGCTATTCTATCTTTAGCTCTGGAATCTTTTCCCTGTTACCGTTTGTGATGCTGCCCCAGGTTTTATGAGTAGTAGCCATTAAGTGCAGAAATACCTCTGTGCCCTTTGGCCCCCAGGGTGGTTCCAGAAGCTTCCTGACTCATCCAGCCTTTGGAATCCTCCCAGCCCAACCCTTCTAATTCCTCAGGAGCTCATCCTCACCCTCGGAATCTCCTCCGATGACAGTCACCTCCACTGGACATTTTCCTTGCCATGGCTTCACCTGCAGCCCAAATAGTAACATTGGTGGGACGGACGGACGGGCTGCCGCTGTGCTGAGCGGAGCTCCCTTTGGGCCTGGCTGCCGTAGTCTAAGTAGATCAACCTGACTGCTTTATTGCCAAGCGGTCCTCCGGTCTCCATTGTTTTATGGGAAAGAACAACAAAGTATTCCTCCAGGTTTTGCCAGGAAAACATGAATTCTTCAGGTCTTATCTAAACGCTTGCTAAAGACAGAACCAGAGCAGACCCATGTAAAGAGCAGGAACAGAAGTCTTGGTAACCGACTGCTTCCCTCCAGAACCCAATGGGAGGGCAGCTGGGGAACTTATTTCTCTAGAAATCAACCTAGATTGTCCAGGTTGCCCCAAGGAGGAGTGAGAGAGACCAGGTCCCTGCTACATTAGAACACAGCACACGGTTACCGAGAACATGCGCCTGAGCTCTTCATAGACGACCAGGGCCTGCAGGAGCATAAGGGATTATCATGTAAAACTTAAGAATTCCCAGCCAGAGTCCATGACTCTGCTTTCCATCAGCCTCAGAACCTGCATTGATAGAAGTGGCGACTTCAGAACCATCTGCCACTGTTAAGAGGAAGGCCTTTCCCGGGCTCTTTAAATTGGAGGAAGCACCCGCTATAGCTACTGAGCTGCTGAATATGTTGTCACTTATTCACTTAAAAAAAAATAATTCGTAAGCACCATTGGTATGTGACATTGATATTTGACAAGGGTCTTGACATCTAGTGGTCTCGAATCTGGTGGAGTTTAGTATACACATACACAAGTGAAATAAATAATACTAATGCAAGACACTGGCCCAGGTCGGGGCCTGCAGTGGTCTGTGGTTACCGCCAGGTGTGTCCTGGCCTGGCAGTGACCTATAGTGGGCACCACTGGACAACCTGCGGCCTCAGAGCCCTCTCCCAGAACATCCTGGGAGTCCAAATAGCCAAGGAGGAAAACTGCAAACCTTCTAGCTCCTTCTTCAGTCACAACAGGCAAGATGTGGTCTATCCCTAGGTCTCAGGCCCAGGTTTTTATCTCCATTCTAAGCTTGGTAGAAATTGTTGAGCTCTTCAGTAGGGATTGGTGAGTCCTGAGGAGTGAAGATGATCCTCCGTGGCCACATCAGTGCAGGTGGAAGTCCTTTGTCCCCAGGCATGATCAACTCCTCCCAGTCCTGGAGACTCACCACCTGCAGCCCAGCCCCCACTCTGGACACAGGACACTCATGGTCTAGAAATCTCTCTCGACAGCTCGGAGTTTCCCAGCCTTTAGGAAACAGACTCCTCTGAGAATCTTGGGCCCTTCCCCAAGAAAAACACAAATGCCTATTAGATTTTGTATAGTATTTGAGGCTCATGGACCTTCAAAATTCTATTTTTGATCTTCAGGTAAGAAGGCCTGACATAATAAACCTGAAAAGGGGGGCCCCAGTTGACTCTCGATACTGGGTTCCAAACAAATGAACAGAATCA